CAGGATTTCCCTTTACAGAAACCATGTTAACTTTTGTCCAACAAATTATATTCTTCTACATGCTTCACAATTTTATTCTTTACTATTGTTTCGACTAATTTGCCCGGTACTGAAGTTAGACTTACCGGTCTGTAATTGCTAGGATCGCCTCTAGAGCCCTTTTTAAATATTGGTGTCACGTTGGCTACCTTCCAGTCATTAGGTACGGAAGCCGATTTAAAGAATAGGTTACAAACTACAGATAATAGCTCAGCAATTTCCCATTTGAGTTCTTTTAGAACCCTTGGATGAATGCCATCCGGTCCCGGAGATTTGTTAACATTAAGTTTTTCTATTTGTTCTAAAACCTCTTCAGCTGACACTTCAATCCGGGACAGTTCCTCAGATTCATGACCTAAGTACTTCTAAGAAAATCCACTTCACGCTGTCCCAAAAAGTCCTTGCATGTTCCTAGTATCTTCCAGAGATTTCATTAATTGTGCTTTCCTCTAAAAGAAGTTCTATACAATAATATGCAGATTGCATTTTCAGTATAAAGCAGGGTGCGGAACCTAAGGCTTAGGGTCTGGATCCAGTCCCCAAGGCTCATGGCTCCCTCCCCAGCATTGGGAAGCTAGTACTGGTGCTCTAGCTTCCCCAGCAAGGGGCTGGAGCACACAAAATCTGCTAGCCTGGGCCCCCTAGGTTCTGGTGCATGAGGGGAGTGTGGGGAGTGTCTTTGTCCTTCTCCGTCAGGGGCCCTGTCAGTGATGGATTTTGTTTTATCACTTGTGGGCAGCCCCGACTGCTTTTTCTGTGGGTCAGCGGACCCTGACCCAAAAAAGGTTCCCGAAGGATCCAAAAGGAATTAAACGTAATTCCATAAGGTATGCCCATATCTATTACAGCTGTATTTTGTACAGGGCCTCATCTGACAGGTGTGGACTATAGTGACCTTTAAGCCTGCCTACCAGAGCAGGCCAGGCAGGTGAAATATTTGGGGGAAATGGCTAATTTCAAGAGGCTGTAGGAGTTTAGCCATGAGCTGGGCTCTGAACAGCTTGGCAAAGTCAGGAGTTGAACAGTATTGCCCATGTCCACCAGAAAAAGTTTGCTAGCCACTGAGACATTACATGTGAAAATGTAGTTACCAAGGGAGTTTAGATGTCTACAGGATTAGGAGGCATCTGAGTGAGGCATTGGAAGATCCAGTTGTTAGATTTATATACCTAAAGCAGCAGTTAGGTGCCTAAATTTCTTTCTGGCTCTGGTTGTATTTAGCAACTCTCAGGATTTGGCCCCTGCTGTTTGCCAAGGATATAGTCTTTAAAATTTCTTCTTTTTATCAGGGCTACCATGAGAATTGTCTGTCCTTAAACATCTGAGGACCTGGGGACTTCCTTTCCCTAGGCACAAGGTTCTTTTTATAAATCATTGATGGGCATCTTCCTTATCTCAGTGATGTCCTGGTTATGTTTAGTGGGACCTCTAGCTCTAAGACTACTGTATATGGGTGAGAACGATGCTCCTCTGGGCACACTAAAATCAGGGTAAACAGAAATGCTCATTGACATGAAGGTATTTCCACCAGCATTTTGAACACTGAGGTTAGCATCAAAGAAGACTGATCTTCTGCTGGATGTAAGATACTTCTAAAAGTTCTGTATATTTATGCATGACTCCCTGAGAAGCTATGTGAAGGCAATAAGTGTTGTCTAGAGGGCAAGGAGAAAAAAGCTGGAGGCAACAAAGGGCAGCTATGTTAAAGCCAAGTTAAGAGACTGAAATCTTCTAGATGTTTTCTGGACAAGTAAAATTCTCATGGTCAGACTGATGAAGAGCAGAAATTTTAGAGTCACAAGCAGTGTTCCTTCTCATCTTTTCCATTTATGTGTGAATTTTTTCTATCCATGTGCAAAATACATTTTTATATTCACCATGGCATGTGCAGATATGCACCACCAACAGAAACACATGCAGCTGGCTGTGGGTGCTGTGCTAATCAGCTGGGTGGTATTTGAATGGCTTCACAAGGGCATGGCTTACAGGGAGCACACCTCACAAGGGCCAAAATCTAAGTGCTAAATACATCCAGCTCTTTCTGGTGTGAATGGGAGATGCAAGAGTTCAGTGCTTTTGAAATAGTAGCATGTTGGCATCTCACTGGTCTCCATGGGCAGACAGGGACAGTTACTGGAGGAAATTGGAAGACTGCTTGTGCTCCATCCACATCTACCCATATGGAGTATGTCTGTATTAGGTCTGTCCAATCTAACATTCTCAAAATAATAGTGTGGACATTGCTGTATGGGCAATGGCTCAGGCAAGCTGCCCATACTTGACCCCCTAGGTCCAATCTCAGTGTGCTAGCCCAAGCCAGTGCCCATGCAGCTACATCAACACTGCTATTTTAGGTTTGCTAGTTTGAGCAGAGCCAGCGGTAATCTGTCTCCCTAGACTGGAAAGCACACTCCCAACTGCAGTGTGGACATACCCACAGAGGCCAGTATAAACTCTGTTGAGTAACTTTGTCTTTAACATGATCTATTTCAATTTTCAAATGTTTTATGTGGCACGTTTCCTTTTTGGACACACATACAACACAGTGTAGACTTTTCAGACTGTTTCCCTGAAGGTGAATTTTTATCTGGGAGCTGAAGTGCAAATTATTTTTTCTTGAGCACTTTAAGAACTGTCTTATATTAAATTGCATTTTATTCAGGTGAAGGCCAACTTAGTAACTTGCATTATTGTCCCTTCCCCTCCCTCCACTTCTTTCTGCTCAGTGTGATCCTGCAGGCTGCCTGATTGAATTGACGACTCAGCTCACCATAGTTATGGCCGGGAAACAGATTTGGGGAAATATACAAGAGGCCATTGTACCGTAAGTGATGCCTTATATTGAGCTACTCTAGTTGTAGATAGCTAAAATTAAGGTGAGGAGTAGCATCATTTCACTGGCCAAACTGAGAGAAGTGCTGAAAGTAAATTAACTGCATAAGAGCTGAAAAGTAAATCAAATTTTTAGAAGTTTTTTGGCTTTTGTATGAGATGTTTGTAAAAGCTGTTCAATATGGGAGTGAAGAGTTGGTTTACTTTGGTTAAAGAAGTGCTTATGAATCAATCTATACAGTATAATGTAGTCTCTAATCATGATTTGTATTCCCCCTTCTTTTGGTGTTCCCATTCCCTCCATCCCCCCAACCCACAGCTGGATTTGGAATTGGTGGGGACGCAGGAAAGCCAGATGTAATCCAGAAAATTTATATAGTCGCTGGGAGCAGGATCGTGATCTGCAGAGCTTTGGAGTCTTGGGGCTATTCTATGAATATCTAGAAATGGGTGAGCTGAAAGCACAACTTTGTAATGAGGATAAGAAATGTTACAATGGCTGTTAGAACAGAGCTTTCCAGTTGGGTTGGAGGTTGGCTTTTTCTGATAAGTATTGTAAACAGCATAAAATTCACTGATACAAGGAATGAAATAGGTCATCCTAATAAATGGAGCTGCCTTTATATTATTTATTATTATTATTATTTTATTATTATTCATAATAATAATGTATTGTGCAGAGTTCTTGTTCATAATATTATATATCCAAGAATTGTTTCTCTCTGTTGGATGGTGGATCTTATCCACACTGCAGCTTTCTAGTGCATATTATGCTATTCTTCCAAGGTGTAACTTGAACTGATGTCAGTGGAATCTCTGCCTATGGGAAGAGTGCCAAGTATGCTGTAAAAATCTGCACTGCAGATATGAGATCTTCAATATGGATCAGAGTATCCACTGTGTTTTGTGTCAGCACTGATTTGTATTCTGACATTACTCCACTGACCAGCAGAGGGAGCATGAGCTAACCAACTGCCACTATTTCTAAAGTCATGTCAAGGTGACTGCTGAAACAGATTGTAAACAGCTAAGTAACTAAAGAAACAGAAATTAAACCCAGGCAAAATCCAGAAAAAAATGAGAAAAGTCAATATTTGTCAAATAGAAAGGACAGAATTTGTTGAAAGGGTTGCCTGGTGGCATAGCTCTTAATGTTACTTCTAAACTGTGCATATAAATCTTGTTTAGAGTACTTATCTACATTCATGTCATGTACCCATTTCACCTTGGGCTGTGATCTTGTCAAATCTCACATGCCAGCCATGGTCAGACTACATCAGTACTTGGATGGGAGTCTTGCAAGGTAAAAATAGCTGTTGTTGTAGCTGCTGCTGGTGGTGAAGATGTACAGATGTCTTTCTTTGTTCCAGCATGGTTCATTGATCAGTAGTGACTGGAGATTCTGGTTTTTGGCTGTGGTGGGAAATTAAAGTCCTGGCCACATGTGGTTGTTAGTGATCTTATGGCAAATCTTTTGAAACAGTTACTGTCAGTGCCTTGGACAAATTTTATGTTGTTTTACATTCTCCTGTGGCTTTAAGTAGATAGCAGGGATGTAAAAAGTAGTAAAAAGTGTAATAGCATAACCGCTAAAAATCCTAGCGATTACATGGTTACATGCGCTCCAGGCTCTGTGGTATAAAACTTATATATAAGAGCCTGTAGCAAAACCTCCCTGGGAGTGGAAAGCTGGCCTGCACCAGATAAAGGGGCTGATCTGGCCAGCCAGAGCAACACTTGCCAGTGGTGGGCCCCGCATGGCTGGAGCAGCCCCCTGTCCAGGGTGGGCAGGAGTCTGCTCCAGCCCTTACCAGTTAACTGGAACTTTCAGGGTGAGGCTTACCGGTTAGCCAGTAGATAGGAAGTACTCCCAATAGTATTCCTTTCATTTCCTATACCTAAATTATTGTGAGGTTGTTTTGGCACAACTGAAAGAACTGCAACATGCCACACCAGAGGTGGTTTCATTTTGGTGATAGCAAAAGTGATTATTTATGTATAGAGTTAGTTATTTTTTAATTTATACTAAGATTTACCAGCGCCACTAAATATATATGTATTGAACTTTCAATAAACCCATGAAGAACGGATCACAAGGGGAGAACCTAAGAATTTGTTTCAGAATACATTTAAAATTAATTAAAAGTTAAGAGGTTGGTCTCTAAAATAATTGCCTAAATTAGAGAGCCAGCAAGTTCAAGAGCCAGCAAGTAAAGTCTTGCATCAGTCAAAGTCTGGTCAATCAAACTTTACTGCTTTGTGTAGTCAATCTCTTCTCCAAACTGCAGAGTCTTTCAGTTATAAACACACAAATGCTTTTCTTTCGTGTAAGTACTTGGATACTGAACTTTTATTAGCACTGTGTAATAATTCAGAAAATTGATTATATGAATACATTCCACTGGAGTTGTTTTTCACTTGGTAGGGTTATCTCAAATGCTCTGGTATTTCAATAGCATGAACTGTGAACTTAAAGGTAATTTCCCTTGAGTTCCAAATAACTGTTGTTCATTTCCCTTCCTCCCATGCAGTCATTCAGTTTGGATTTATTACTCTGTTTGTGGCCTCTTTTCCACTGGCTCCCCTTCTTGCTCTGATGAATAATATCTTGGAGATTCGAGTAGATTCCTGGAAGCTTACCACTCAATTCAGGAGGCCTGTTGCTGCCAAAGCCCACAGCATAGGAGTTTGGCAAGAAATTCTAAATGGAATGGCCATCTTGTCTGTTGTCACTAATGTAAGTAAACTCTGCTAAGTCAATTTTCTTATGATTCTTTATATTTCCAGGATTTGTAGAATGAGACACAGCTTCTACATTCTGTATGGAACCTGCTCATTATGGATAAAACACCACCATTTTAGTTGCAATGCTACAAGGGTGTTGGTGACATGCAGCTCTCTATTTCTATTTAACTGGAGTCAGGTTGTTTTTTCACTTGGCTTTCCCAGTGTCTGGCTAGATTGGGGTGGGATGTGGGTTGGTTTACAGAACTCAGTCCCAATAAGGCATTGGCTGTACTAATTGTCTATGGGAATCCACAGGAGTTGGCTAAAGGGATTTCATACTTTCAGTTGAATGGTTAATAAGATTTGCAATCTATATGTTCAGTTAGATGCTCAACTGCTTCTGGATGTCCAGATAGCAGCAGTGGCTAAATATTCTTTTAATAAACTGGAAACAAATAAGCTGCCACATCTAGTGTTCCAACTTCACATTGGACTGCCAAACAGAATCTGATATTTCATTTTAAAGGAAAATATTTAAGCAAGACACTAAGTCACAGCTGATGCAGCTTATCTCAAGTTCTGTTTCTTTTTTTTCCAGGCCTTTATTGTAGCCTTCACATCCGATATGATCCCTCGTTTAGTTTACTACTATGCCTATTCTACAAATGGAGATTCACCCATGTCTGGATACATTAACAACAGTCTATCCGTGTTCCAAATCTCTGATTTTCCAGCAAACAAAACACCTGAAAATAATCCAGAGAACTTTCTCACATGCAGGTTTGTGGTGATTAAAAATATAATTCTCTATGTTTTATAGGTAGTTTTCCAAGTAGATAGTTGAGATTTAATGAATTAGAAGATAAGGATGCAAGATTGTAGCCATTTAACTGGGTAATCGATAAGCATGAGTCTATCGATTACCCAAATGGCTACACACAGCTCCTTGTCTGGCTCCCGGGGAGCTGTCTGCTGCCCCATGCTGCTATCTTTGAGGCAGCAGCACAGGCTGGCTCTTGGTGCACATCAGCTCAGGCTGCCGACCCACATATAACCTCTGAAAGTTTTCAGCTGTTACTTGGTTATCATTACATGCATTTTAACATCCCTATTAGAAAATAGATGAGCCTACTTCTTTAATGTCAGACTACTACAGGATCTAGCTTCCTTAGGAAAATGATTTAGGTGACCCCATTAGCCACCAAAAATAACAATATGTTTTCATTTGAGTCAAAGGGAGTTCATCTTGGTGTAACTAACAAATGCAAGGGCATGAAAAAGAGTGTAGCATAGAAAGCAAGTAATAGGAAAGGCTAAGGATATATCTAGACTGGTGGGGTTTTCCGGGATACCTCCAGTATCCTGGAAAAACTCCGCCGCATCTAGGGCCAAATGGTGGAAAAGCCTGTCCCGGAAAAAGCTATGCAAACTGTGGAGTGCAATTTGCATAGCTTTTTCCGAAAAACAGCAATACAGTGTAGACCTAGCCTAAGAGTGTATGATTTAAAGCCACTTTGGTAGTTTCTGGAAATAGATCTGAAGGTATCTGACAATCTAAGGAACCCATTTTTTAGGCACAGCCAAACCCTGATCTTGCTTTAAGTTAGGGTAAGAGGAAGCTGCATACTAAATCTGGTGTCCTAGCTCTTACTGTTTAGGAGTTCTTGAACAGACTCACAGACTGATAGACAGGCAGACAGCTGCACATTTCTAAAATATATAGATAGATATATGTTAGTAGGTAGGCCTGGAGCTCTTGTCTGATTTCTCCTGTGCAGTTTTGCACAGCCAGGGGTCTTATCCTTTTTGACTTCTTGCTTAATGTTGTGTAATTCATGAAAAAATCAGTCACCCATGTACATGGTGTGTCAGATCCCTTTGTGGATTAGCTCTTTGATGGTTTAGGTCAGCAGTTGATTTTAGAGTTCTCCTTTAACCATACAATTTGAGACTGAAGGATCCTGCCTTAGTTTTCCTGGGCTTTGTATCGAATGATCATTTTATACAGTACAAGAAGTCCCATGCACAGCTCTTCTGATGGGATAAGGGTGTCCCCCAAGCCATAGCAAAAAAATATCCAAAGAATGAAGACCTGACACACCACAAGTTTCTTGAGTGCAGTATTGTCATGATGGTGCCCCGTGTTTTTTAAATGACTGGTATTCTCTTCTTCTGGCTGTCTTTGCCAAGTTGTTCGACAATTTATACAGAAGGGCCAATATCCGTATGCATTTATTGAGACATATTTTTAGTTGTGTTCATTAGCATAGACCAGTGGTTCTCAATTGGTTTACCATAGTGGGTTGCATATCCAGCCCACAATGTGTAATGTGGGACGTATCTAATATTAACTTCAGGATGTCACATATGGCCCTGAGGATGTCACATAGGCCACAGCTCTATTCTGATTGGATCTTAGGTTGAGAATCACGGGCATAATCTTTACCTTAATGCAGAGGAATTTTTTGTTCACAAGAGTTCAGTGTATTGGTGAAAAAGCATGAATTTGTTCATAGTGAAGGAACTGTGCATTGGAGAAGAAATTTGAGACATCCATGACAAAGGGGAAACATATTATGTGGTGCAAAACAAATCTATTACAGATAGATCATAACTCAGAGTAAAGCTCCAGTTTTTTTATTTTGCAATACGTATTAATCCCAGCCACACATATACATCTGCTCACCTATTGAGCACTTGATCTATTCGATATATCTATCTACAATGATACGATTTAATTAGTTTCAATTGTGCTTTTTGGCATTCGCTATCTGAATGTAGTAGTAATCCACATAAACATTTCATTTCTCACACATCTTCAGTCATCGTATGCTGTTGTGAATGAGGGTTCTGAGCAAACTGGAGATAGATGCAAGTTATGAGAGCCAACTTCTTCCAGAAAAAGAAAACAGAACATTTTAGAACAAGATCAAAAGGTTTCTTAAATGACAGCTGTATTTGCATGTAAATGTCACTGAGCTTGTAGTCAGTCTCTTATTGAAGGTGATATTTCACCTTTACATTTGTTTATATCTAACAGGTACAGAGACTATCGAAATCCACCAGGCCACGAGAAGCAATATTTACACACTATGCAGTTTTGGCATATTCTTGCTGCCAAAATGGCTTTCATAATTATAATGGAGGTATGTACCCCTCAGTCTTCTGAACTCAATACATTATAGATTCTGTATATAGTAACTATTTTTTAATAAAAGTCAAATTAACTGCTGAGCATATTCTGTATTCTCTTGCATAAGAAGAACAAAGAAAATGTCAGTTGTACAAAATAAAGACCAAACTTTCAATTTTCACTCAATTGTTTCTCAGGCAAGACTCTTTCAAGTAAAAAGATATCTCCCCCAGAAAAGAGCAGAGTTAAACTCTTAATGCAAATAAGAAAATAACTAAACCAGCAGGTTTCCCATATATACAATTCCCATTGGTTTATATAGCATTGCTATTGTATTGATGCTCATGGGGGACTGCAGTACTACCTTCTAAAAGTGTTATACAGTGATAGCAAGTAGATAAAATTGCTCAAATTAATGATTTTGCATAGTAAGCCAGCCTTTTGCAGGCTATTGAAGGAGTTGGGTTTTGCTGTTTGAGCCCCACTGAGGCACGGATTGGGAGTCGGCATCCTTGGAGGTGGGGAGAGGGGGGACAGAAGCAGTGGGGGCTCTGATGGCTCCCAGTCCCAAGAACACAGCCTTGCATGGGGCAGAGGCAGCTGGGGAAATATGGTGGGTGAAGGGTTGGCTGGCAGCCCTCCCACCACTGCTTTTGACCCCATGTGAGGCTTCAAACTCCCAGCCCGCTGCTCAGTGTGAGGACAGAAGCAGCCAGGCTAGAGCACCCCTGTATGTGGCAGGGCATAACACCTGACAAATGGGTGCTACAATCAATTCATATGGGATATATACCATCCCCTTTAGCTCCATCCCTCCCCCCGCACCCATCTCTTCACAATTAACTGTAAGAGTGATGCTTACTGGGTAACTGATACATATCTCTAAGGAAACACCTAGATGCAGCAGAAAGATGCTGGAGGTACAGAATATGAACTATTCTTCCTCAGCTGTTACAAAGCACTTTGGAATAAAAAATAGTTTAAGGGTGACTTATAGTGTTTTATTAGTACAGTTCTCAAAGACAAAATTTGAGAATTTTTGTAACACGAGGTGTATTTTTCCAGGACAGTCATATTAAAATATACTCTATTTGTAAAGGAAAATATAAAATTAATTTTAATAATAAAAATAATAGTAATAATAATAATATTTTATGCAGTTCTTTATTATCTGGAGATCTAATTACAGATTGAACCTCCCTTGTCCACTGCTACTAGGCTCCAGCCTGCAGGGCTTGGACTTGGGCTTGGGCTCTGGCCCTCTGGGGCTTCCGCCTCGGCCCCACTTCTCCTCCGCCTGCCCAAGAATCCCTGGGGACAGAGCTTGCCGGCTGCCCTGCTGCTGCCGGGGATCCTAGGGGATGGGGCTTGCCAGGTGCCCTGCTGCGCTCTGCCAGGGATCCTCGGCAACAGGGCTTTCTGGTCCCACTGCTGCCCCACCCACCTGGAGCTCCCCAGGGATGGAGTTCGCACTTCCGTGCGCCAAAGCTATCTGCTGGACCATAGATGTTGCCCGACCAGAGTGTCCCGGATTTCAGAAGTTCGTCCTATATTTCTTCGTTTTCTAGTACATAATCATACTTAAACTTGCTTTTTTTTTTTTTTTGGCAGCATATTGTGTTTATTGTTAAATTCTTCGTGGCATGGATGATTCCAGACGTTCCAGCGGATGTGAAAGCCAGAATAAAACGTGAAAAGTTCTTAACACAAAACATTCTGCATGAATATGAACTTGAAAAGCTGAAGCAGAAGCTGTGTGAATGCAAGACGCATGAAAACATGGAAAAGGAAGTAATTGCCACAGAAGGAAAAATGGAGTTATCCCAAGCAATGTAGCTGGAGGAATTATCTGGTACATTTTAGTCCCTGAAACTCTGATCTTTATTTATCTGAGATCTGCTCAGTATGCAGTATGTTGAAAACTATATGATAATTTTAACCCTTTGCTTTCAGTCCAAAGATTTTAAACCTCTTTTCTAAAAAAAACAGCAACCACCTGTTAACTGAACCCTGTGGGCTTGGTAAATGCCATTTCTCAATTTTCCTGCTCTATTAGAAGGTGCTGTTTTCTAACTACCCATCAGTCTGAACAATGGTTAAATCCAATGGGTGTGAAAATCAAAATATTATTTGGAAGTCTTGTCACATTGGTTCTCGGGGGGGGGGGCCCTAAAAGAGGTTGTGATTCGATGTATGAGGGGCAGTGCCAACTAGCTCCCAGCTAGATGGCAAGGTATGCGCTGGGTAGCTCCTGGTACGGAGAAGATTGAGAATGAGTGTCTATATAATCACAACTTCATTAGCTAACATTGGAAGCAGAACAACTGTTTTTTGTCTCCACTACATATCATACATATATTTGTTCATGGGCTTGAAACCTTTAAAAAAAATGTACCTCAAAACACAGATAAAGATATAGTGCCTTAATTCTACTTCAGACTTTTAAGGCACAGAATTGAAGTAGGCTAGGGAAGAAAAAGAATAGTTGAATTTATTTTCAATTTTTTATTTCTAATAATCTTAATCTGTGAGTTTCCTCACAATAAAGTTTTAAACCTTGAAAGCTTTGTCAGGATTTGATAGTATAGACTACAACATTTAAGAAATTGCTTAGTTTTCTTAACAGATAACTTAGCCTAATTTTGCAAATGATAATGGGGGCCTATAATTTCTGATTGTGCAATTGTTATTTCTGAGAGTGACAGCAAAGGGATAATATGGTTTGAGCTGCCTAGTCAGAAATGCTTCAGGAATTAACCACAGGTCTATGAATTTTGAACAGCCCCCAGGATGGGGAAGTTGAACTGTAATCCGATTGATCTATGGTATGCCATTGTGTTTATATGTGAATGTGATTATAACGTGATAAAGTTAAATATTCCTTATATAGTTAAAATGCCAAGTAATGTACATTTATGTAGCCATTGTCTTATACTAGGAACCCTTGAGGGTTTTTATGTTGTTTTTAATTTTGCCAAGAAGAATTTTTTGTTGTTGTTTGGTCATGGGGCAGTTCTGCAAATGTATGACGTATATTTGTTGTCCGTTATTTGTACAGGTTAGCCACAAACTGGTTGTGAGTGGTACCATTCATGCTAATTTTAATTACAAATATGTTAATGGTTTTACTACGTTTTAAAGACATATCAACTTTACAATGCTTAGTGCCTTATTTATATGCATTTGATACACAACATGAAAATGCTAGCTGTATAATTAAATGGTAGCATATCTTAAAAGTGAGCTTGCAGGCATCATGAAACTCTGAACCTGCATAAGGCAAGTTCATAGTGTTGGCTTAGAAATGGCTGCATTTGCACACTTCAGTTTGTCAGTGCTATGCAGAAGTGTGGGAAGCACTGTAAAGTGGACTCCGAGTTGAAGAAGCAATGGACTTGCTGTGTTCTCCCAAAATTAAGAATGGTAAATAGTGATATTTGGAATTTTGGTATATCTGCACTTTTAAAGTTATATTTAACTCACATGTTCCAGACCAAAAGTCCATCATCTGTTTTGCCTTTCAGCTAAGGAATTCATTATTTTCTAAATCCACAAGTTTTAGATTCCAAGCTTGGTTTCAGCAGAGCAAACTTGTGAATCAGAAAAAAAATCTGACTAGTAACCTGATTATAACAAGAGTATTAAATCTGTGTGTTGGGCAGAACTAATATTGCTGGTAGAATTTCTGATGCTAAAATGTTTACCTAAAGGCTATGTCTACACTATAGCCTTTTCTGCAAAAACATATGGAGGTGAAGCGTGGAATATCACCGCACTTCATTTGCATAATTAATTAGGCTTCGTTTTTGCACAAGAGGCTATTGCGCAAAAAGAAGCCATCTACACAGCTCCTTTTTGTGCAAAATCCCTCTCTTTCACAAGAGCCGTTCTTCCACATTAATTATGCAAATGAGGCGTGGAGATATTCCACGCTTCACCTCATTTGAATATGTTTTTGCAGAACAGGCTATGGAGTAGACATAGCCCTAATGAACATCATTTGATTCTCTTCCCTGCAGGAAGGGTAAACAAATGTATATCTCTTTCCATTGTAATTCAGCAAGTGTGCTTTAAGAGCATAGTGGCCACTGAGCATATCTGATGAGCAAATACTCCTTTGGCTTACTTCCCAGAATCTTTCTTGACTTCGTTAAATCTGTAACTGGTTATTAGTATATGTGATGAACTGATATTGCTGTCTACCATTCATGTAAAGCTCTGGTTTATTGTAGAATAGCATGTATAATATAACTAAGAGAAATTTGCTGCTTAAGAACATATCTTGTAGTGTGAAGTGCAATAAGCCAAAGATTCATTACACTTACTGTAATTCTGTAATGCAAATGCTGTATGCCACCAAAACATAGTAAATGATTATTTACAAGCACTTTGCTGCTTTTTACAAATATACTGTAAATTAAATGGAGAATGTTCAGTATTTCTGTTATTTTTAATATTTAAATTATTTTCATAATTTTGTTAGTTAGCAAATGGCAAAACCTGTGAAGTAGTAAGGGGAAAACAGGGCTGGCCGTACCATGAGGCAAACTGAGGCAGCCACCTCAGGTACCAGACTGTGGGGGGCCACCACTAGAACCCAGAGTGTAGAAAATTGTGTCTGCTGCTGGTGCATATGTATTCTCTCTGCTCTAGAGAGGGAGCATCAGTTGAGCTCCCTGCCTCAGGTGCCCAAATGTTGTGGTCCGGCTCTGGGAGGAAAGATGCAACGTGGTAAGGTAACCTCTGTACAAGATGCACAAAAGGTCTGCTTTGAAGTTAAAAATCAGTAAATACATTGTCAGATGATGTATTCCTGCAGATTTAATATAATGTCAATTACTTCAAGTCTTTGTACTTAAAAAAAAGTTCTGAGTTTGCACACTTGGAAAGTTGCCAGCAGTGTAGTTGTATTGGCAATGTATAATGCATCTTAAAAATTAAGGAGCATAACAGAGAAATAACTTAAAGATAAGGATGCAGCACTAATATGCAGATGCACCAGATAGTGAAACTGCTAAGTTGTTTTAGCACTTCTAGTCCATTTTTTAAGCACACATATAACGTAATCTTATACTTAAGGAACATTGAATTGTTTTCTTCAGATACTGTAGTATATATTTTTTAAAAATTAAGAACTTTGAGATCAGCTTATTTAAATAATCACCTATTTTACACTTTAAAGCATCACTTTTTGGTATATACAAAACTATTTAAAAGACAGTAAATTATCATTTAATTAACAGCTAAAGTTACATAAGGATGGGTCAGTCTAATCTGTTTCCGAATTTAACTGCTTCCCTTGTTTGTTTGTGTCTAAGCACCATTTCAGCAAACCTTTATTAGTATAACTAGAGTTATAACCGTTTACAAATATTTTTCCTGAAATGTGTCACAAAGTGGCAAAAATAAAAGCCATACCGAGAATATGAAAATATTAAGTATTGTGTGGTGGATTTTTGCACATTTGAATACCTGTGTTTGATGTTGAAAATTAGTACTGAACGTACACACACACATGCACACAGAGTATATGTATGTCTCTAAAAATGTCCTTTAAACAAAGTGAAATGAGTTTGGTATTGTAGCTACTGTAATTTTTAGGCAAGATTGGATTACTTCAATAGAATTAGTACATGAGGCAGATTATTGGTTTTTAAATATAAAGAATAACCCAATCAGGATTTTTTTCAATATATGGGTTATATTTGTGCTATAGAAAGATGTAACTTGCAATGATACAAGGCCATGACCATGAAATAAGCATGCAACACAAAACACTATACTGTTTTTCTAGCAAATTCTATTACTGTGCTTTTTTTTCCTTTTTTACATAAATTGTTTAATAATGTTGACAGTGTCAAACTGCATAAAAGGTGGGGGAGATTTGCTTACTAAGCAGTTTGCCTGTTTTGTGCTCAATTGGTATTGTCATGTAAATGGACTGGTGTTTTTGATTAAGTATCATACTGATGTATATGATGCACTAATCCTGGGATGATTGTTTTAAACATTACGTTACATTAAGTTAACCTATCTGAAAATGAGGTTTAAAATGTGTTGGTGAATAAAGCAATGTTTATATTTTAACTGTACTGTCAACTTTTTTGGTTAAATGTTTCTTGTTTTGTATAATTCAGCATGTCCCTGGAGATGAAGGGCTGAGTTTGTAGTAAGGATGTAAGATCCTGTTTAATTGGTTAACCACTTGAATGTAAGGTTTAACTGGTTAACTTATTAAAGAGGAGTGGCTTGGAGGGGCGAGCGGGAGGGAAACTCTGCCAGCTGGGGAGTTGGAAGGCAGGAAGCTACTTCAGTCCTCTCCTGGAACCAGTAAGCATCACCCTTAACAGGTGATGCTTATCAGTTAATGGGTTAACTGGTTAACCTTTTGTATTCCTAGTCTGTAGCTCTTAGTGGTTCAAAGAAAAGCGATATTTCTATTATAGTTTACTAGTCTTAGATCATCAATTTAACACTACAATATATTCAGATTCAACAAAAGTGCATACCACTGAATTCCTTTTAACTACTATGTGTTATAATTATTTTGGGGAAGAGAGTGTGTAAAGAGAGAAGGTACAGTGGACTTTTATCTTGCTTCAAAAAGCTAATGCCAAAGGTAGAATTATTTCTGCCTCAGGTGCTTACTTATGTCAATTCTAAGTAGGCTTGCATGTGCACACTTGCTGGAATGTTTTGTGCAGAGGTATCCCTTCAGATTGGTTTAGTCCCTCCCTTTATGGTATTGTATATAGGGCCCTGCTCACCCACCCCCTCTTCAGTTCCTTCTTACTACCTGTGATGGGTGGCTGGAATGCTCACTCTCCCTTGCTTCAGCAAGTCCTTTCCCTAGTAGTCCTGACTGTTACCTTCACTCAGCAGGCCAAGGATAATGCTGCATTCAGGAGAGCGGTTGTTCAATCAGCAAATCCATGAACTCCAATCCTGCCTTC